GTCGAAGAATTCTTTTTAAAATCAGGATTAGCTGCTCAAGTAGAGGAATGCCCAATGCCTTTGAGACTAGGGTGGGGTGGGATCCAGGCCAGTGGCCTTGGGCTACTTTCCTCTTTGTACTTTGTTTCACTGGACTGCAGGCTGAATTTCCCTGAAATAATAGGTGAATTCACCAAAGGGCTATGGCTTAATAAACGAAATGCCAAGCCTGGGAAAGAAGTCTGCTGGCAGGCTATTAAGGAAGTGCCGGTTGTTTAGGCAGCCTGTTGATAAGACCATTTTATCAGAGTTGCAAATGGCAAAGCAAATGAAATGGCTCTATCTGGGGTTATATGGTGAGGCGAGTAAAAGCTGAGACACTGTGTTGTTGAGCTGCTTTGTGCTGACTGAGAGCTCTGTAGTGATAATAACTTAGCCCCCTTGGGACTCAAATAACCCTCTTTCATCATGCCCATGGCTGGGAAGCATCACAGGTTCCCTGCTCCTCTAGCTTCACTGAAAACCCTGAGCCCTACATGGAACTGATCTGATCCCCTTTCCTCCAAGCCCCACTACCCACAAACACAACCAACCAAAGAATGCCTGGCACAGGAGTTTGGAGTACGGAGGGGCATGATCACTCAGAGAATCCTGGGCCTTGTAGCCAGGAGAAACCAACTGAATGGCTACAGGGAACCCCAGCTCTGCTGGCTGTGGTCTATTGTAGATGAGGGGGATGTACACGGTACAGTGGCTGAGATGACATTAGCTGAGATTGTACACTGAGGCCACATAGCTGAGGTAACTTGTTTTTATATGGCTGAATTCAACTGATGCTCACAGATACTAAACCATTTTCAAAGAGCCACAGAAACAAAATCCTTTTTTATTCCTTTTCTTCTGGATTTGTCCTGGTAATGCCTGCGCACACCTATATTCTACTCTTTCCTATCCTTTCCTTCCCTTATCTACAATGCATCACGTGAGCCTTTAGCCCAGGCCCTGTCCAAAAAGAAAGAAAAGTATTTAGGCTTGGATTTATTTAATGTATTGAATTTCTGGGCCCGATACTCAGCTGGGGTAAATAAGCCTAGCTCTGAGTCAATGGAACCGTGCTGACTTACATCAGGATAGCCAAGGATTTGGCCCTCACTGGATAAGTACTCTTCCCATCCCCACCCCACAAAAACACAGAGAATTATTGCAAATAAAATTTTTTGCATAGCAGCTAATTAAAAAAAAGAAACAAAACCAAAGCACCCTCAGGAACTAATCAATAATAATTGTTATTTATTCACAATGTAACAATTGTAGGAGTCAAGATTCAGATCAGTTTCAGAAATAAAACCACATTGTTCGATAATTATATTGTGTAACCTTAATGGTTGCCCAACAGACTATGAAGCAAAAGAGGGGACTGATCCCTGAAGTCTTTGTTCATGGCTTGACTGTGCCCATGGAGTCTTTTCTGCACAGAACAGAGAATCAGCAACCCTATGGGGCAGTACTCCCCTTTCTTCAGGGCACCTGCACTCTTGCTGTGTTCATGGTATCTTTGGTGTCTGTGGGTCAAACTTTTGCTTTCTTATGTCTCCATAGCAAAGAAAAACCCATGGCTGGGGCGCTAGAACAATTTTTACACTGAGGGTGCTGAGAGCCATTGAACCAAACTGTAAACCCTGTATAGAATGGAAACCACTTCAAGTCAGAGGGTGCAGCAGTGCCCCCAGCACTCCTAGTTCCAGCACCTATGCTCGTGGCTGGCCTGTGCCAGCTAACTTGGGCTCGCGCTGCTGTTTCATTGCTGTGTAGACTTCTGGACTTGGGCTGGAGCCCGGGTTCTAGGACTCTACACTCCTCCCCTGACTAAACTCTTCAAGGTGAACTCTGCAGAGTTTCTGACCAGTTCAAAGATATTCCTATGTAGGGAAAATATCTCACCCATAGTTTTTACTAAGCCTATAATAAAGGGGAAACTGACTGATTTCAATAAGATAACAGCCAAGAATAGACTCCAGGAGTTGGCTCTATATGTATTAAACTTTCCCTATTGTAATTTTTTATTAGTAAATATAGCAGTATTTTAGTCTATTTTTAGCTGGAGGGATAAATAGATGATGACCATGAATCATCCAGGCAAATCAAACCCATCCACATCTAAATGTAGATCATGCTCTTGTCACCATGGAAGGCTCCAAATTTCTTTTTTTTTCTTTAAAGTCAAAGTCTCCATTATACAAACCAAATCACAGATCAACCAGCAGTTTTGTATTAAAAGATCATTTGGTGGCATTTTAATCTCGGATGGTAATGTGGATGTTTGTCATTTCTGATCTCCCCTTCCTGCAACCATCCACAGATGACAAGATCCGTGAAATTGCTACTGCCAAGGAGAGAAATGAAAATTAACCTAGTGCCCATCAGCTGCCTCAACACCACCCTTTCCAAGCCAGCCTTGACCACCTCTCTTCGTCAGCGAGAGAGAATGCCTTTTACATGCAGCATGCTTGCCATTCAGTCTGCGATGTCTTACATACCATGACCACATGTTAGTGAATAACAAACTCTGTCATGTTAAACAGATTGCTTTAAATCCAACACTTTCTTTCCGATTCTAATTTGCTTTACTTTTCATGCTACTTTCTCACATATAAAAGGGGAACTGGGAGGAAAAATAAAAAATAAAAAGACACAAGAACACCTGAAAATCTTTTTCATGTACCTGCTGCTGCTACCACTCAGTGCTGAATTTGAATAGAAATGGATGGGAGGGAGATGGAGAAGGATGAATAACATTTCATGCCCTGTAGTCAAACATAATTTCAAGTAGGAAACGAGT